TTTATTTAAGTAATTGCACATGTGGAAGTGCCAATTATGTTGAAGAAACTTGAAAAATTGAAATACTTGTTATCTTGCAATAATTTGTGACTTGTCCGAGCGGTTTCAAACTTTCGAGTCCAATAACTTGAAAATGTAATTTCTGAGATTCTTCAAATTTAAAGTGCTGCTGGTAAATTTTGGGATATTTGTGGGAGTTCTTGAATTCTTGTATGGTAGAATATTCTATTGACAGTGTAATAATCTTCTTATTTCTAGCTAGAACGGTTTCTTGACCCAGGGGTAAGTGTGATGATTAATCCCTCTCTGCCAAGTGGGGGGGGAGAGTGGTTAATGGCTCTTTCCTATCAAGCTAGAGTGACGTATGCCATGTCTACTGTACCTTCGACAGTTCAGCTGGTCGAGCAGTGGCACCTGTAATTCTAAAATGAGACCTTTTTGTCACTAAAGTCTCAGGACCTTGACGAGTTTATGGATGACATATTGATTGATGTCCTGACATATTGCGAACACTCAACTCTTTTTATTGCCAATAGTTAGCAACATTGATCCAGGGTACTACCGCATTTGTGGCTTTGTGCCACACATTACACACCATGATGTGTGTCTTTGGTGACCCCAGCTCCAGAGAGCTGGATTAATATATACTCCGGTGCCACTAACTTGACACGTACAATTTTCGGACTAAAGTCGGGGCCCCCACACTCTTGGAAGTGGACTGACATCGAGGACTTAATCGGCGCGTATGCTGAATCTCAACTATGATGATTTAATGACATTCTGACATTGAGACAGCTCATCATTAAGCAAGGTGCCTGGTGTCATAAGTCCGAGACACCCAATCCCCAAGTAAACAAAGACCTGGGAAGAACGTAAATGCAAATTTTCCTAACCTTGTTTATGATGCAGATTGAAATCCATGACCTTGTGCAAGATAGATAGGGACTTAATTGAAGTATAACAGTGTCGGTATATAGGGTAAGTGAAGTGATTAATGTCTCCAGAGCTGGTCAAAGCTTCGAAATGAGCTGAGGTTGGATAGCAGCTCTTATCCTGTAAAACTGATCTGTGTAAAAAGAAAAAAATATAATTTCCCGCATCATGGCAGTCCTTGCTTCAACCAGCGATAAAGTGTACCGGAACACTCTGCCTGGTAATGAACCACGAACCAGGTGCAACCGAGGACATTTGCCTGGTAAGTACACAATTAAGGAGTAATTCTGACAGCCACTTGTGGAGTAGGCGAGCAACATACTGAGAGAGCCCGCGGAGAGGCTGGTGGGATCTAAGTGAACAGACTGACACTATGTTAGGTAAAAGAGCACCTATGCAACTAATGCGACATTTTATTGTGGTGATATGATTTAGTAAATGTTGACAACTCAAGTATAAACTGTCATCTCTTAGATTTAAAAATGACATTCAGTAAACTGGTATTTATTATTACACTAATAAAAAGCATAAAATCCACATAGTTCTTGGTGTATATAAACAGCTTATTTTAATCCCTATTTTAGGGAATACAGCGTTCTTGACTGGTGTTGAAGAGGTCAATAATAATAATATTATTATTATTATTATTGTTATTATTAATTATTATTATTATTATTAAAGGGAAAGTGCTAAATCCGTAGGGATCATTCAGCGCATAAAGGAACGGGAGGCAATCAATTTCGATCCAAGGAACGGGAGGCTAGGTCCATTTCCTCGGATGCACAGCCCCCTCACCAAGGCACCTCCTTTAATCGTTATACCATGAATATAATAACAATGTACATTACAAGGAAGGAGAGCATGAGAAGGAATGTACGAGCAATTGAAGCTGGTCAACTCAGTTTTAAATCATTAAAATAGGTCACACTGGTACGAGTTTATATGAATTATGTTAGGTTACTAACGGTCTCAGTAACACTGGTCTGAATTTTAACTTTTATTTTTATTCATGGTTGCGATCTTACATATTCTTGGGCTGCTGATTGTAAATATCTAAACCATTTTGCTCTATCACGTAAGGATTTTGAATAAAATACAAATTAATGATAATAATAAAATGTGAATTTTTAATAAATTGTTAATTTATTAAAATTAGGCAAGTAATCATGGAAAAGCACATTCTGTTAGTTTTCAGAACATATGAATTCCAAATCATCATGAATCAAATCAAATGATTTTATTAAAAAAATATGCTCCTAATGGTTAGCCTATATATTGAATCAAAGGAAGGGGGGCTGCTCTGTTTTTCGCTTGTGCTGTGCATCGAGACCCTTACGTTTCAATGACCAGCAGTAATCCGCCATCATGTTGACATTCCACTTGCTCTGGTATCGAGTTTTCATGGTGCAAATATCCTGACGGAACCGCTCTCCTTGTTCCTCACTGTAGTCCCCACAATTGTTGGGAAAATAGTCAAGATGTGAGTGCAAAAAGTGCATCTTCACTCTCATTCTAGACCCAAGTTGTTGGAAACTTGAAATCAGGTCTTGGATAATTTTTTCATATTCAGGAGAGCGTCTGTTTCCCAGGAAGTTGACAATGCTTGAATGAAAACCAGGCATTCACCTCGACACCTGCTAATTCTTTATCAAAATGCTTGTCCTTCAACAATTCCCGAATCTGAGGGCCAACAAAGATTCCTGCCTTTAGCTTGCCTTCACTTATATGAGGAAACTTTGACTCCAGGTACTTGACAGCAGTTCCATTGTTGTTGAAGGCCTTCACAAAATTTTTCATAAGCCCTAATTTGATGTTGAGCGGTGGCAGCGGAATTTTCTTGGGGCCAACTAGTGGCACAGTTTTCACGTTGTGATTTCCGGGTAAGTTCATAGTGCTGGCTGTCTTTCCTACTATCCCAAAGACACAGAAAATAGGGATACTTGGTGTATCCGCCTTGAAGACCTAGTAGGAGAGCAGTAACCTTTAAATCACCACAAATGAGAAAATTGTGATTCTGGTACTTGACTGCAGATATTAATGTCTATGGCTAATTGGCACAGATGCAGTTGTGTTGCCATTGTAGAGAAGTACAGTCTGTAAACTTCTTTTAGAAGAATCACTGAAGAGTCTCCATTCATCTGCTTTGTATGACAACCCCATGTGTTCAATAAGGTCAGAAATATTTGAACAGAAAACTAAAGATTCCTCTTTGTCAAAGAACTGAGTGAATTCCACTTGACGATGACGGTACCAAGCGAATGTTGTTCCAGGAGCTAGAAGCCTGTGTTCCCTCAGTCTAGAGCCAAGTAACTGTGCACTTTCTTTTGGAAGGTTAAGGTCTCTCACCAAGTCATTGAGCTCAACTTGGTTGAAGGGTTTGGGATCATCATTTAAGTTTTCCAACTGACCACATTTGGAGCTTACTGATGCAACTCTCTGCAAGCTTTGTGTGGTGCAAATGGTTTGTCGTGGTCTCCAAGTTTGCAGCCAAAATAAGTAAAGTTGCAGCGCTTCAATAAAGGAATAATGTTGCTCCGGGAATCTGAAGGGTGAATTGCCCGAAGACAGCAAAATATGTCTGGTGAAATTATGCAGCCTCTAGACATATTAATAATCTGAAAATAAAGAAAAAATGTATTAGATTTAACATTTAAGTCAATATAAGGTAAACATTTTAATTGGTAATATATCACTTTCTCATTTACTTATGTTACACGAAAAGAGAAAAGTAACGTTTCCGTAAAACTTGACAACCTGATGTGACAGAGATGACCAGGCCGCGGGGGCGTTGACCCCCGGAACTCTCTCTAGGTAAACTCCAGATATATACCTTTAAAGATACCATAGAGTCAATAAAAAAAAATAATGCAGATCAGTTTAATCTGCTAGTCAAATATTGTGCATATAGACGTTAAAAATAGTAGACGCTGGGGTCTCTAGTCAAAAAAATTAATCAAGCAAAATGAAGACAGGAGAACCTGTAAACCGATCATTAGGTGGTTTTTCTGTGTCTGGAGGCCACACGGGTTACGAACTCTTAACACTGGATCGAATCTCCTTTTAGAAAAGCGAGGGCAGAGCAGTGACCTAACCAGCTTCAGGTGGAGTGATTGCAGATCCATAACCAGATTTTCAGCATTAAAGACCATAAATTAATTAATCATTGTGATCGACTGGAGTTAGAGGGTCGGCACGAAGCAGGTTGATGACGATGTCACGGTAACCTCTTGGATGATGAAGAGAGAGAAAAGAAAAACAAGAATATCGTTTTACAACACAAAAATGTTACTGGCATATTGTGGGATATAGATCTTGTATTGGAAATGTACCTTAAGTAAGAAATTTAATGTGTTAAATGGTTTAGAAAACCGACTAATTGAAGAACTGAGACACTTATGCAACATATGGGAATCTTTATTGAAGAAACGTTTCGCCACATAGTGGCTTCATCAGTCCAATATAAAGTAGAAATGGGTAAGGAGAGGAGGAGTTTGAGGCAATCAGTCCCTCAGCCTGGAATCTATGTGTTAAGTCCGTCACTCTTGTGATCGACTGAACACATCGATTCCAGGCTGAGGGACTGATTACCTCACTCTCCTCCTCTCCTTACCCATTTATACTTTGTATTGGACGGATGAAGCCACTGTGTGGCGAAACGCTTCTTCAATAAAGATTCCCATATGTTGCATACGTGTCTCAGTTCTTCAAGCATTTTAATATAATGCCTATTTTTTTTTTCTAAAATTCTTATTCTGTCGACTTTCAGAGTTTAAATCCAAAGCTTCACGTCAAATCCAGTTTCCAAAATGAAGTTCGAAAATATAATGTCATGCTCGCAAAATAAACACAGAAATAACTGCTACTTAACATGAAGGAAACCCGAGCATCGCCTTGACCTCCGCCAGTGTTGACGTAGCAGACGTATTGGTTGTTCGCGCGTGTCTTCGGCAGAAAAAGGAAGGTCAGTCATCCTTCGAAGGAGGGTAAATAAATCAATGTTTACAAGGCAGAGTGAGAGGCAGGTATATAAGACAGCAGAGATGCTGAGAAGAAATCCACACTCCAACATGAAGATCTTGGTAAGTGGCGTCTCCTGCAGAATTTGAAAGACCCTTCAAGGGAGCTCTTCGTGTAATCCTAATGTGATCTCGTGCACTGACTTCTTCTGTATTCCCCTGGAGGCCTTCTTCTGGATGTCCTGTTGAGTGGCTCATGTGTAATCTTAAGAAGCCTCACGTACCCACTCCTACAGCCATTGTAAAACACTTCCTTTTGGAAGGGCTTTCAGTGGCTGTAGGAGTCTTCTTCCTTTTGGATGATTTCTTACAGTGACTGAGTATAGAAGTCACGATGTTTCGCACACTGACTAATGCATCTTTAAGATACCTCTACACTTTAAGCTTTTTTTTCACATTTGTTGCAATAAAAATTTTATCATTAATACCTAGGTTCAATCATCAATTATTCTTATTATATAAAAATATAGCACACTTTTATACCTTTGCTGTTTCGATTAGGCGTTGTATCACCGTTATGGGTTTAGCGATACTCTCTTCATAATACAAATACAAATAATAATAATAATAATAATAATAATAATAATAATAATAATAATAATAATAATGATGATGAAGATGATGATAATGATAATGATAATAATAATAATAATAATAATAATAATTATAATGATTATTATAATAAAAAATAATAATAATAATAATAATAATAATAATAATAATAATAATAATAATAATAATAATAATAATAATAATGATAGAACTGATGGGGGAAAAAGGTGAGTGGTGCATTGAGGTATATGTGGGGACAAAAAATGTTATCAATGGAGACAAAGAAGGGAATGTATGAAAGTATAGTAGTACTAACACTCTTATATGGGTGTGAAGCTTGGGTGGTAAATGCTGCAGCAAGGAGGCGGTTGGAGGCAGTGGAGATGTCCTGTTTAAGGGCAATGTGTGGTGTAAATATTATGCAGAAAATTCGGGGTGTGGAAATTAGGAGAAGGTGTGGAGTTAATAAAAGTATTAGTCAGAGGGCAGAAGAGGGGTTGTTGAGGTGGTTTGGTCATTTAGAGAGAATGGATCAAAGTAGAATGACATGGAGAGCGTATAAATCTGTAGGGGAAGGAAGGCGGGGTAGGGGTCGTCCTTGAAAAGGTTGGAAGGAAGGGGTAAGTGAGGTTTTGTGGGCGAGGGGCTTAGATTTCCAGCAAGCGTGCATGAGAGTGTTCGATAGGAGTGAATTGAGACGAATGGTATTTGGGACCTGACGATCTGTTGGAGTGTGAGCAGGGTAATATTTAGTGAAGGGATTCAGGGAAACTGGTTATTTTTATAATGCCAGACTTGAGTCCTGGAAATGGGAAGTACAATGCCTGCACTCTAAAGGAGGGGTTCAGGATATTAGCAGTTTAGAGAGATATGTTGTGTATCTTTATACGTATATGCTTCTAAACTGTTGTGTTCTGAGCACCTCTGCAAAAACAGTGATTATGTGTGAGTGAGGTGAAAGTGTTGAATGATGATGAAAGTATTTTCTTTTTGGGGATTTTCTTTCATTTTGGGTCACCCTGCTTCGGTGGGAGACGGCCGACTTGCTAAAAAAAAAAAATAATGATAATAAGGGGAAATTACGATTGAAGTAAACACATGGATATTAATAATAAGTTAAGTGATTACCTAAATATGCTTAAGAGATGTTCGTGCTCAAATCAGCACTCACAGTGTGATATCTAATATACAATACAAATCATACACTGTAGACAGCTTGTTGTGATTTTCATTGCATAAGGCTTTTTATAAGTTGTAAATATTTGTAGTGTGTGTTCGACGTTTATTTGTGACATACTTATTGCCCACAGGTAATGGTCACGGTGATCGCGGTGGGCGCCCACGCTGCTCCGCAAGGTTACAATTTGCAGACACCCTCGGGTTCAGGATTTTCGGCTGGCCAAGGAGTCTCGGAAGCTTCACGTTTCTCAAGCGGCTCAAGTTTCGTCACAGGCAGCTCTGGCTTCTCTGGGGGCAGCTGTGGTTCCGGACAGGTTCGTCATGTGGACGGCAGCTGTGTAACTCCTCAGGTCACCCGAAACTTGTTTGTGTACAACGTGCCTCACGCTCCTCCCATCATTGGCCCACGACCAAATGTTCCTCTACCAAGAGTTGAGCAAAACATTGTGTTTATTCGCACCCCAGAGAACGGCCCAGGCCAGGAGCCTATTGTTGTCCCACCACCACAACAGAAAAACGTCGTGTACGTCCTCAACAGGAGACCAGAACACGACCAGAAGGTCATCCACGTACCTGCACCAGAGCAAGAGAGCCCTCAAGTATTCTTCGTCAACTATGGTGAGGGAGAAAACCCGACTCTGCCCACCGGTGAAGATCTCCAGTCTGCCCTCCGCTCTGCTTCCCAGGGTGGAGGTAATGTAATCGGCAGCGTTGATGGCAGTACAGGTGGACAAGACAGCTTTTTGAGTGGCGATGTCAGCAGTAGTGTGGATGGTAGTTTTTCATCAGCCACTGCTTCTTCGCTGTCTACACCGTCACCGTTGTATTCTCAGCCATAAAGCTGCATTTTTTCATTATATAATTAACAGTAATGGTTATAGATCTGTCGCACCCTGTAGCTGAAATCCCCAGATATACACGTATTTGTTTTTCCTAAGAACGCTCTTACACATTCATTATTTATGAACTTAAAAATTTATTGTTTGATCATGATTTCAAAAAAATTAATGATAGCATGTATTTAAATTATATTTACCTTCTCTCCTTACACCTGGTGTCGCTGTTTACCTCAACGATATCTGAAAACTATAAATATCGCGAACACAGTCATTCGTAAGACATCTTTGCTCGGTACTTTATAATTTAAAAAATCTATAATACATATAACAAAGAAAGCGATGTCAATAACGATCTCAAAATTTAAAAATAAAATCTGTATGGATACGTAGATCCTCCCATTTATCTTGGTAGACGCAAGGCTATAATTTTGTCTCATTAAAGCTGTCTCTGGTGTTCCTCCCACCAGAGTGAAGTCGATCGAGGCTCGACCTCTCCCAGGCATCAACAAACTCCAAACTCATCTTCCTTCTAGCTAAGTTGAAAAATACGTATCCTCACCAGCCATGAACAAGTACAGGAGCGTAATCGTGTGATGGGATGCAAGTAGGAGCTACATTGTAGCTCCTACTTACACCCCACGTTAACTCTTGACTGACCGTTCATATTTAGTTCACCAGGATAACAAATTATGGAAAATATGATATATAAAGGAAAATTACCTTACTGAATAATTTTATTGTCAAATAATTATTAACATGACTATAGACAGATGTGGTTAGGTTAGGTAAGATTCGTCAGGAAGCAGGACAAGTGTTCCCTGACGGGGTCTTAGTCATATGATGACCCGTTACTGGAGCTTTTGGTCATCTGGCCGAGGTCTTTCACTGCCTTACTGGTCCATCCTTTTAAAAAATAAATTATAGGTAATGTGTAAACAGATGAGGTGTAATTACACTTCGGTGTAATAACACTACATCTGATTTACGCCACAGGTATTGGAGTTTGCGATGTTTATTCATTCCGTGGTTCAATTCCGGGCACGGGTGGAAACATTGGGCATGTTTCCTTACAGTTGCTGTCCCTATTCCTTTAGCCGTAAGTAGGTACCTGGGTGTTAGTCCACTGGTGTGGGTCGTATCCTGGGAGACAAAAACTGAAGGGCCCCAATGGGAAAACGACAGATAGTCCTCTTGGGTTATCTTGGGTGGCTAACCCTCCGAGTTAAAAATCCGAACAAATGTTATCTTATCTTAAAAGGAGATTCGTACAGTGAGCAGACTATGTGCTACCTGTACTAAACTAAATAAACACCGGCCTCGGTATAACGGAGTGGAGGTTGGAAGTGTGGAAAATACTGTATATATTTTCCAGAAATACTACAGTAGTTATTAAATGTAAATAGATGGCCATACTGTATTTAAAATTTATGTAATCGAAAACGGGAAGCTGCGTCTGCGCAGAAGAGACACTCGCCATGTTGGTTTTGAATTTGTATTAGAAACGGTGAATGGGGAAGAATTTTTCGTACTCTAGAGGTTAAAATTGTGCTGACACCTCTCAAATAGGAGGCGAAATTGGTGGATATGCATTCCTGCATAACTTGAGATATAAGACGACTGGACAAGACAGCTCCAGGAACCTCAGATAAGCTCTCTAGATTTGTGTATAATTCTGGCCAGTGTTTTCATAAATTTAGTTAGTGAGGTTTTTCTGAGTTTGATACAACTTAATATCCAGTCAAATTGGTGAGTGATATTATGATATATTTTCCTTCTGTTATGTAAATTATTTATATATAATAATTTTTTAATTTTAATATACAGTCCACAAATTTATATATTTACCAGCATTCCTGGTGATGTATATTTCATTTAATTAATAGGTCCAGAGCAACTTGTGGATATGACAGTTGTAGGTATCGAAGGGGGACATTTTTGTGACCTAGGTGTCCCAAATTCCTACTTGTCTATGTAACATTGATAAATAATAATTGTGGAAAATACTGTATATATTTTCCAGAAATTCAGTATTTATATGTAAATAGATGGCCATACTGTATTTAATAATATTTATGTCATAGAAAACGGAAAGCCTGCGTCTGCGCAGACGGGACTCGCCATCTTGGTTTTGAGTTGGATACAACGTTAATATAATGGGAAGAATTTTTCGTGCTCTAGAGGTTAAAATTGGATTGACACCTCTCAAATAGGAGGCGAAATTGTTGGATGTGCATTCCTGAATAACTTGAGATATCAGACGACTGGACAAGACAGCTCCAGGAACCACAGATAAGCTCTCTAGATTTGTGTATAATTCTGGCCAGTGTTTTCATAAATTTAGTTAGTGAGGTTTTTCTGAGTATGATACAATTTAATATCCAGTCAAATTGGTGAGTGATATTAAGATATATTTTCCTTCTGTTATGTATATGTGAATTTATATATAATCATTTTTTAATATACAGTCCACAAATTTATATATTTACCAGAATTCTTGGTGATGTATAATTCATTTAATTAATAGGTCCAGAGCAACTTGTGGATATGATAGTGGTAGGTATCGAAGGGGAACATTTTTGCGACCTAGGTGTCCCAAATTCCTACTTGTCTAACTGATAAATAATAATTATCTAGGCTCATTTATTGTTATGTACATAATTATACATACAGATAAATGCAATTTTCCACATTTAATTTGCCCGTTGGTCCTTCTTGAACCGGAGGTAATTAGTGAAGTCATTAATTGGTTAATTACTTAATAATTATATGCGAAATGACAGAAGGAGGTGGATGCTAAGTTCACAAATTTACTTAATGTGTAGTGGATTATAATTATTACAATATTAATTTTGATAAGTCAAGTCTGGGTAAGTTTATATTAATTTGTATAATATTAATTTGATAAGACAATTCTGGCCAAGATTTATATCAGTGTATGTGTAATTGATAAGCCAGGTGTTGCTAATTATATTAATGTGTATAATATTAATTTTTTCTTAATGTGTAGTGGATTATAATTATTACAATATTAATTTGATAAGACAATTCTGGCCAAGATTTATATCAATGTATGTGTAATTGGGTAAGGCAAGTGTTGCTAATTATATTAATGTGTATAATATTAATTTTGCTATGCCAAATTCTGGCAAGGATTTATATAATTTGTATAATAATTTTGATAAGCCAAGGCTGGCTAAAGGTTTGTATTAATTACATGTGTAATTGCTAAGCTCAAGTGTAGCTAACATTATTAATGTGTATTTAAAATTTATATTACAATTTTTTACATGTAGTTGCTAAGCTCAAGTAGCTAGAAATTTTCTTAAAGGGAAGTTGTACATTTCCTTTATTAAGTGCATAATTTAGTACATAACAGTGTTATTAAGTTGAATTTAATACATTTCATCATTGGCTGAAAATGAGGAAATTAATATAGAAGACAAACATATGGAATATAGAGTAAAGAAAGCATCAATACAGGCTAAAAAAGTTCATGTAACCAAGGCATATAATAAATGTTTGGAATTAATGAATCAAGAAACTGTGAATACTGATGATTTAAAATTATATTTAGATTCTTTAGGTAATAGATATGATTCATACAAATTATATTACAACAAATATGAAGGAAATTTATTAGTAAACTGTGTAGATGAGACTGAAATAGATCTCATGATTAATCAGTATTATGAATTAGAGGAAAAGATTCTTTCTTGTAAAAGTCAGGCCTTGAATAAATTAAAATGTGTAAACCAGGCAGTTAATCAGTCTGCTCCAACAAATATGTCTTTGCCAAAACTCCCAGAATTGTGTTTACCTGTGTTTAATCCTGGAGAAAATTGGGAGGAATTTTGGTCAATTTTTAAAGCAGCTGTAGTGTCTGATATGTGGAAGATGGCTAATGTAACTCCTATTTTTAAAACAGGGGACAAGTCGTTACCGTCAAATTACCGCCCAATAAGCCTGACCTCAATTGTAGGCAAATTACTAGAGTCAATTATAGCTGAGATTATAAGAAGCCATCTCGATAAGCATAGCTTGATTAATGATACTCAGCATGGATTCACAAGAGGCCGGTCTTGTCTAACTAATTTATTAACTTTCTTCAGTAAAGCTTTTGAGGCTGTTGACCACAATAAAGAATTTGATATTATTTACTTAGATTTTAGTAAGGCTTTTGATAAGTTCCGCACCATAGACTGTTAAAGAAAGTGGCAGCCCATGGCATTGGGGAAAAGTGCTCTCGTGGATCGAGTCATGGCTCACTGACAGGAAGCAGAGAGTGTCCATAAATGGGGTTAAATCGAGTGGGATCTGTAACAAGTGGCGTTCCACAGGGAACAGTCTTTGGGCCCGTTGTTGTTTATAATATATATCAATGATCTTGGATGAGGGAATTATTTCTAGTGATATGAGCATAATTCGCCGATGACCACAAAGATAGGTAGGATAATTGATTCAAACGTAATTTAGGGAACTCAGGAGGATTTAAACAAACTCTATTCTTGGTCAAAAAGTGGCAGATGCAGTTCAATGTAGAATAAGTGCAAGGTTCTGAGCTTGGGAGTGCCCATAACCCTAGTACTATAAATTAATGAAGTAAACTTCGCCATACAGGATTGCGAAAAGGACTTGGGGTTATGGAGAGCAGCAACCTGAAACCATGACAGCATGCCTAAGCGTACGTAATAAGGCAAATAGATTACTGGGATTTATATCAAGAAGTGTAAAAGCACAGAAGTCCAAGGTCATACTGCAGCTTTATTACACAGTAGTAGCCTCACCTTGATTGATGCAGTCATTTCTGTCTCCGTATACAAAATGGACATAAATTCGTTAGAAAAGAATTCAGCGTAGATGACTAAAATAATACGTAGCATCAGAAATCTTCCTTATGAAGAAAGATTGAAGACTCTAATTACATCACTTGTTAGACGAAGAATGAGGGGAGGACCTGAACGAAGTGAAAGTGGAAGATAGGTATTAATAAAGGGGGAGATTAATAAGTCTTGAGGATGTTCTCTCCAAGAGAGAACCCTCAGTAAAGGATTAAATTAGTTAAGTTAGATTTAGAAAGGACATAGGAAAGTATTGGTTTGGAAATAGGGTTAGTTGATGAAGGGAACAGTCTACCTAGATGGGTTATTGAGGCTAGGACTTTGGGTAGTTTCAAATCTAGGTTGGATAAGTACATGATGGGAAGGGTTGGATTGAGTGGGACTTTCACATCAGAGCTTATTTCTTGGGTAGCATTGAAAATTGGGTTGGGTAAATGTTTTGTTAGTGGATAATTGTTAAAGGACCGCCTAGTATGGCCAGCAGCCTCCTGCAGTGTTCCTCCTTTCTTATGTTCTTATG